ATGTGGACATGTTGAATTTGAGGTGCCTGAAGGGAAGCAGAGATGTCCAGAGCCAGAGAATAAGCGGGGTATGGAGCATGGGAAATAAAATGCTCCAGAATAAAATGACCTATCTGTGTTGCTGGTGCCCCCCCACATTCGTGTCATCTGACACTGATAACCTGATGATCAACCTGGGGATCACAGTACTGAGGGCTAGTCAACATTTTCTGGGTTCTGCAGCATCGTGAAAAACCATCAGGGAAGGTGTCTCGTTTATAACTGAGCTTCCATCTGCCTGGCCCCTTCTTCACATTATCCAAGGAAGTCTCAAGTGTACATGGTGGTGGTTGATATGCGTTTGTGTTGTGACAGAGTCTCGCCATCCAGTGAACATCTTCCGGCAAGTCATTCTTTTTTTTTTTTTTAAACAGCAGCAGGTGATTCATTTCATTTTATTTATTTTTTAAAGATTTATTTATTTATGCATACAAGAGCTAGGGAACTAGGGTACAGGCCAGAGGTGTGGTGGGTGAGAGGACCTCACCAGAGACAGAGTGGGGAACAGAACAGGCAGACTGATGAAATACACTGTTGCGGGGAGCAGCGGGAGAGTCAGGAGAGGTCTGCTGCACCGTGTGGGTAGCTCCCTGGTGAGGGATTGAACTCATGCTGCAGAGGCTGTGGATTGCTTCATAGATTGCGTCTTAACCCCTTGCACCACCAGGGAGGCCCCCCAGAGAGTCATTCTTAAAAGTCAGTATCCATAGCATCTTCTGAGCACAACCTTACCCATTTCTTCTGCACAGCACTTATTTCACTGTCATTACTTCATCAGGTGCTAATTTTCCATGCTCCTTAAAGGCAGGAATCATTCCTCTCTTGTTTGTTCATCTAAAAGGTGGAGACTCTCCCCTTTCATGCCCTTTTCCTTCCCTTACTTCCCGTCCAGGGGTGTTGATATACTCCATTAGTTTCCAAGGCACACCCACATTCCTACCGCCCTCCTTCCGCTTCCTTTGCTGGTGCCATTGGCTCTGTAAGATAACTGACTTGGAGCCAACATCTCCTCCTCTCCTGTCTTCCACATGAGTGCCAGGGCAAGACTCTGCATTGGAGCCAGCAGTTCCTGGTCAAGGGCAGAGCTCCAGCTGTGAGGTCCCATCGGCTCTAGAGTTGTGGTCCCACCCGCTCCAGGAGAAGCCTGCCATGGGGAAGTCATTCACTGATCTGGCTAATAAACAAGAGGCACATTGGTTTCCCATTTATATTTATCCTCATAACCTTAGGGACTTCGTGAATAGGGGGATTAGTGGAGAGCAAGATTTTGCCATTTCCGGATCCTCTGGTCAAATCCCACCTACTAGACCCTTCATCTCATTGACCTGAGCAGGAAGGAAGAAATGCACAGAGATGATTTCTACCCTACAGTCTTGGCCGTTTATGAAGATTTGTCCCTGGGATCATGTCTTAGATCATTCAAATACACTGCAAACCCTGGGCTTTGCTCTCATATACATGATCCACACTCTGAATGATGTTATGACACTTCTGGGCTTCATCCTGACACATTTTGAAAGGCTCCTGTCAATCTGCCAGCAAGAAGTGATATGAACCCCCATCACTGAGTGCGAACCAGAAGATCTGAAGGGCCTGGTAGATATTTAGCATTTTCTTGGCCCAGGAATATCTCCTGATTGAATAAAACATCCCACAAATTATCTGTGTGTTGCATCCACAGCAACTCTACAAGTTGGATGTCATATCTTCTTATTTTACAAAAAGGCACACTAAAGCTCAAAGAAATGCTATAATTTAGCAGAACACTCAGCATGAGTAATAATAACAATTAACATTAATTAATGGTAGTGAATGGTAGACCTACTAGGTGCTAGCACTTTGTTCAGGCTTTAGGAATTTCTCACAAGTGTCCCTTAAGGCTGATGTTGTATCTTACATATGAGGGAACTGAAAATCAGAGGGATAAATGACTTGCTTCAGGTCACAAAACTAATGGGAGTGGAGGTCAACCTGTCTGATTCGGAAGCCCTTCTTCCTTCATTGCAATCCTCTCCTCCCAGGTGGGCACAGGAAGCACAGAAAGTGAGTAGCGGTAGAGACTCAAACCTGACAAAATACATTCTGAAAAGGAAAATGCCATTCGGTCTGACCCCAGAGTGGTAGCTTTGGAAAACAGGGAGAAGAAAGTTCCTCACTTGTGCTGTGCCTCCTGGAGGCCTGGGGCAGAGCAGGGGCCTTTTCTGGCTTGTTTCGGGAAGGATGCCCAGGATGAAACTGGCCAGAATCAGTACCTGGGTGGATGCTGGGAGCAGGGACAATAGGGGAGGAGGGGTCGAGCATTCCGATGACCCTTTTCCAAACTTAGCCAAGGATCCCCCTTGCCCAGAGATAGAGGCAGGGCCTGGCAAAGGCCTCTAGCTCCGCAGAGAAAAGGAGAGCCCCCAGCAAGTCCCCTTGGCTCTGGTAGTCCTGAGTGGGCCTTTCTAGGGATCCCTGCACATCAGTTGGTTGGGGAAAGAGAGGAGAGGGGAGGAGCTAGACTAAGAAGCATTGTTTTGGAAAGCAAATATGATGGATATACCCCTTTGCTTGAAATCCATCCTCTCTCCCATGCGCTGAACTCCAAACTCCACACACTGGTGAACTCCTCCACCATGTGGCCTCTGCTAACCCCACCAGTGATCTTGGATTGTCCCCCAACACATATTATATGATTTAGTGGTTCTCCCGCCATCTCTCCCAACAGTGGACTCACCTGGGGAGTTTTCTTTAAAACACAATAGTATAAACCAGAGACACACTATCGGGGTGGGAGTGGGGAGAGAAGAGGAAGGATCAGGGCCAAAATAAAGGGGGTGGGAACTGTACGGGGACTATAACCAAAATGAAAATGCATACACTGTGCAAAAATGAAAAATGATGTAAGAATTATATAAAATAAAATAAACTATTTAAAAAAAAACACAGTAGTGCTTAGGCCTTGCCCCAGAAAGGGATCTGTAGGGAGGGATGTGGGGGGGGGGGTAGACACCCCTCATATTTAAAAATTTCACAGGGTATTCCAAGGTGTGTCTAGGGCAGAGTAGCTCTCTGCTAGGGCTTTTCCCTCTGTCATCCTCACTTGGCCAACTTTAAAAAAAAAAAGATTTATTTATTTTTGCATTTTAAGAACTGGGGTGTAGGCCAGAGGGTGGGGGTGGTGACGAGAGGATTCACCAGAGACAGAGTGGGAAGCAGAACAGGCAGACTGACTGAAATACACTGCTGAGGGGAGCAGTGGGTGAGACAGGAGAGGTCTTCTGCTGCGCCATGTGGGTCAGCTCCCTGGCCAGGGACCAAACTCAAGTTGCAGTGGCTGGCGATAGCTTGATAGTGCTGAGCCTTAACCCCTGCACCACCCGGGAAGCCCCTCACTTGGCCAACTCTTAAATTCCTGTTGTGTCTCTTGTAGGGGCCGGATGGGCACAGGGCAGGTTTCTAGGATCCGAGCAGACCGGGTAAAGGAGAGTCCTGGAGCCCTCGGTGGCTTTCTCAGGCTTTTATTGAGCTTTACATGTAGTGTGGCAAACAGCTACACAGCAATCAGGGGTGCTAGGGGGCCTGTAGGCCTGCAAGTCTTCACTCTGGGCTTCTCTGGCTTCTTTTGCTCCTTCTCTCTCCTGCCTCCCTCCTGCTTCTCTTGGTGACTATCTCAATATTCCTCCCATGACCCACAGAAGTAAACAAGACAGCTTACAACAATGTAACAACTGCAGGTGCCCCATGAGGCAGGGCAATCTTAATGGTGGGAGTGTAGAAAAGCCTGAAATCCGTTTACCCTACAGTCTCTGTTCTGGTGTAAGCTGAGAACAGGAGGTCCAGGAGGTCTGTCAACCAAGGGAGACTTCCATGAACTCTGTTCTCCTTGGCAGGGTGGGCTGGGTGCCCATCTGTGCTGCTCCCCCATGGCACATGGTAACTATTCAATAGATAGGTGGAAATGTTAATATCAAGTTAAAAGCTGTCTCCCTAAAATTTCCCCTAGTCCCTGATATTCCCTCCTTCCCAATTAAACATGAAAGCACCAGTCTTTGCTGTTTCTAAAACTTTCCCCAAATGTCTATCGGTATTGGTCCTTAATTAGCACTTCTGGATCCCTCTGGTCCTCGCTGTCCTCCTGAGCTGGGGAGCTGGCTGTCTGTTCCTGCAAACATTAGCGTTTCCTCAAATAGCTGCTAGAAAAGGAAGCACTGCTTCTCCACAAGAAAAGACCGTTAGCAAACAAGAGCTCTGCAGCGGCAAGCTCAAAGGCAGCTAAAGCGTGTCCCTCTCTGGGAGATGTATAAAGCACCTCCACTTAAGATCATAGGGTGATGTAGTCAATACCTATCTATTTCCTCCTCCACCCTTCCTCTAGGAAAGCCACACCACGTTTTTGTCAGAGAGCACCAGACAGGGAATAGCTTCAAAAGAGTGAAGGGAATGATCCAGGTTGGAGCAGAAGAAGAGAAAGGCCAGAAGCTGCCAATAAGACATTAATTGGCTTTGGAACAGGTAAGAGCCTCACTCTGGCCCAAATATCCCAAGGCAATTTCCAAAAGCAACTGTAGAGGAAGAGGTCTGTGTCTTTCTCACCTTTTTTTTTTTTTAAAGATTTATTTATTTATACAAGCACTGGGTACAGTCAGAAGCACGGGAGGGTGAGGGAATTCACCAGAGCCAGAGCGGGGAGCAGAACAGGCAGACTGAGGAAGTACACTGCTGAGGGGAGCAGCGGGCGGCAGGAGAGGTCTGCGCGCCATGTGGGACCCTTGCCAGCGGCTGGGGATCCAACCAGCGCTGCAGAGGCTGCGGGCAGCTTCGCAGCCCAGCACTTAACCGCTGCGCCAACGGGGAGACCCTGTTTTTGTTTTTCTTAAAGATTTATTTATTTATGCATACAAGAGCTGGGGTACAGGCCAGAAATGTGGGGGGGGGGGCGGTTGAGAGGGTTCACCAGAGACAGAGAGGGGAACAGAACAGGCAGATTGACCGAAGTGCACTGCTGAGGGGAGCAGCGGGTGAGTCAGGAGAGGTCTGCTGCGCCATGTAGGTTGCTCTCTGGCCGGCTGGGGATCAAACTTGTGCTGCAGGGGCTGCAGATCACTTCATAGTGTGGTGCTTAATCCACTGCGCCACCAGGGAGGCCCTATCTCACCTCCTTTGAATGGGTGGCTCGGAAGTCGGAGAAGGGGAGAAGGGGGCAGGAAGCCACAGGGCAGCCTGCTCCTGCCAACTGCCCAGGGTTTGGAGAGAAGCCAGGCCGCCTGCCTCCTGAGGCTTGGGAATATGCCCGAATAGAAGGATGCTGCAGCCGCACCCCACCCCCCACGCCAGTGTTGAGAGGAGTTGCTCCTGGCAGTGCCCAGCAGGTGCCAGAGCACTGGGTGTGGACAACTCATCTTTGTTGGATTTTTGGCTCCCTTGACTTTACTTCTTTGGGCTGTTTCCTTATCTGCAGATGAGGGTTTTGTTGGACCAGGTGTCAATAGTCTCTACTGGTCTTGCTTTCTGGGACTGGTAAGAAAACAGGGGAGACAGAGAGGGGAGGAAAGTGCAGGGTTGAAGTTCAGTCCATGAAGAAGGGGTGGAAAGACTCTCCCCCTGACATCTTGGATGAGATATCAGATAAGGAAACTGAGCTAGAAACGACTCACGTGAGGTCGTATGGGTAGCAAGAAGGCAGGCTTAACTTCATGTGCCAACTCGAGCAACAGGGCTGTCAGCGGCATTGCTGGAGGAAGGCATCCATAATCCAAGAGCAGTATCTGCCACTGGCTTGGGGAGAGGAAATGGCAGCATGAATGCCACACATTTGCCATACTTAATATTCATTTGAAAATTGCTAATGAGAAGTATTCAGTGGTAACTAAAAAAAAGACCTGCCCTCAGGAAGCGTACATTCTAGGAGAGATAGACAATACGCATGTAAACAAATGACTAAATAATATCATAGCCACTATCTCCTTGCTAAGTAGTATGAGGACAATAAAATGGTGCAATGGGGTAGACAGTGTTGGTATGGGGGAGCAGGGAGGAGATCAAAGTGATCAAGGAGGTGACATTTAAGCAGAAAGCTAAATTCCGAGAAGATGGAGCCTTGTGAAGAATTGAAAGAAGAACATTCAGGCAGAAGGAACTCCTCGTGCAAAGGTCCTGAGGTGGTGCCTTAAAAGGACAGAGAAGGGAGTAGAGGCACTCACAAGGTAAGGAGAGGGGTCATTGAAGGAGGTGGCAACGGTGAAGCCAGATGCTTAATGAGCCCATGTGGATGTCTCACAGGCCTCCCAAAGTCAGCCTGTCCAAATTCACCTCCTCAACTCCTGTCCTCCCTTCCCTCACAGCCGACTGGCTCCTCCCCAAGTCTTTCCTTCTCTTCCTGTAAATGACCACCCAGCCGATGACTTAGACCACAGTGCCACCACCCAGCCCTGGACCATCAACCCTTGCTTGGGGTGCCCATGCTGGCTTTCTTGCCTCCAGTGGTCCTTGACAGAAGCCCAAAACGCTCAAACCAATCCCATCATCACTGCCCCCAAGCTGTCCTCTCCCTGTTTTAGCTTCCTTGCAACTATCCCCAGCCCACAAACTAAAGGACACGTTTTTAAATCATCTTCTTAAAAGAGTTTTTGGAGTTGGCCACAGCCACAGACGTGTTTAGTCCCAATTCAATCCACCCATATTCTCTACTTGTCCCCAAACTGACAATGTTTCCAGAGTGGTTTTGGGGGCTGGGGACCACTGGGGACTGGGCATTAGTTATTATAGGGACCGTTTATCAGCCACCTGCAGTGCTCCTGGCCCTGTCTCCAGGAGCATCATAATTAGTCCTGCCAGGCAAGTATGATTATTTGTCCCACTCTCATTCCTATGGATCCTCAGACTCAGAAATGTTCAGCTTCTTATCATAAGTCCCCCAGCTGGTAAGTGGCTGAGCCAGGATTTGGACTCAGCTCTCTCTGATGCCAAAGCCCAAACACTTGCTTCTACATTAAGCGCCCTCCTAGATAAAATGAGCAAAGGATGACAGGCTCAGTGAGTGGCACCTTGACCTTGACATTTTCCCTTCATTCCAAATCAAAATAAAGGTCGGAGCCTGCTCCCCAGGCTCCTTGGTATCTCCCAGCCTGGAAAGATAAGAGGGTAAGTAAGACTTTCTGCTGCCCCCTTCCCTGAAGAGATGGAGGTGTTCTAGTCTTCCTTATCTGGCCTTTCAGTCCCTGTTCTTCCACCTGCCTGGCTCTCACATTCCCTCTGTTGCCAGGTGGTCACCTGCCTGCCCTGGGCTGGACTAGCCAGTAACCGGTGCCCTCCAGCTAGTTGGCCTCTTGATCAGGAAGCATTCCCGTGGGAACCATGGTGCCAACATCCGGTGAAGACGGGTCCTCCGTTACCTGCTGGCGCTACTGCTGCTGCTATCAGGCACAAGGACAAAGGACCTTGGTGCCTTCCGCCCGGCAGGCTGTGTTTGTCCAGGGCGAGACTTTAACTGGCACAGATGTTGAGTAAACAGGAGTGCCGGCCTCACAGATCCGCCTTCCAACGAGCCGGGCTTTTGCTGGAAGGTGTTGCTTTCAGGCCAATTGCTGAAATACTACCCTGCCCATCTCTGCAAGGTAGAGACCATCAGGCAAGCACTGCTCCCTCTGGGCCTCAGGCTTTCCAGCTCTACAATGGAGAGTTGCACAAAAGGATCTCCAAGATTCCGTCTCAGGTCTAAAGCTTTGAAAGACGTAGCTGGAAGTCTCCAGGGCTTTAGCACTGGAAGAGTGAGTGCCTGGGGTTGGGTGTGGAAACCAGGCCTTGGTGTCATGACATTTTTCTTCCTCCCCTCCCTCAGCCTCATATACCCCCATATACCTCTGTGTCTGGCCAGGGAGATTGACCTTTCTCAGAGCAATGTCCTTGAACACGGGGTCTGTGATCTCATTTACCCTGATAGAGCTCCTAGGACTGGAACTAGGTAACCTCATGGTAGGAGGATTAAGTGTGACTGTCTTGCTACAGAGGCCACTTAGAATCTGATCTCTGACTCTCTACCCCCAGAAATCTTAGGTAGGTGGAGGGTGCCCACACAGAGGGACCATGGAGGGATGGTTTTTCTGATTAGAGCAGTGGGAGACAGCATGCTGATAGCAATCGTCAAGCTTTCATGTGCATAGGAATCAGAATCACCTGAGAAGTTCATTTAAAACCCAGAATCCTGACCCCACACTCCAGAGATTCTGAGTCCCAAGGCTGAGGTGAAGGTGTATTTTTAAGATTCTGATTTTTATTTTTTTAAAGATTTATTTATTTATTTATTTATACAAGAACCAGGATACAGGCCAGATGCGCAGGAGGGTGAGAGGATTCACCAGAGACAGAACGGAGAACAGAACAGGCTGAGGGGAGCAGTGGGCGAGACAGCAGAGGTCTGCCATGCCATGTGGGACCTTCGCCGGCGGGCCGGGATCAAACTGGCGCTGCAGAGGCTGCGGACATGTTCACAGCGCTGTGCTCAACCGCCTGCACCACCAGGGGAGGCCCAGATTTTGATTTTTAAACAAGTATCTAGGTGACCTTTTGGTCTTTAATGTAATGGAATGAATGAGTCTGAAAGCTATCAGTCCTGGGTTCAAATCCCACTGCTGCCACTTATAAGTCTTGTGACTTGAGGGCAGTGACTAAGCCTTTTTAGGTGTCAGTTGTGTTTATAAAATGAGGCTGTAGTAATAGTTACCTTTTAATAAATGAGACCATTGTTTTAGTGTTATTATACTTTATAAATGTTTGTTGAGCAAATAGGGTAAAAGTCCACTTGCCCAAACCATAAACCTGAGGGTTGTCCTTTATGTGCCTCTAGTACATCTCAACTTCCAAAACACGAATTCCGTGAACTGGGCCTCTTAAAACAACCTAACTCTGGGCCTCCCTGGTGGCACAAGGGGTTAAGCACCACACTATGAAGCAATCCACAGCCTCTCCAGCACAAGTTCTATCCCCCAGGGCCTCCCCTGGTGGCGCAGTGGTTGAGCACTGGGCTGCCCGCAGCCTCTGCAGTGCCGGTTTGCTCCCTGGCTGCCGGCAAGGGTCCCACAAAAAAAAAAAAAAAAAAAACAAAAACAAAAAAAAACCTCAAAACAGGTTCTATCCCCCAGCCTGGCAGGGAGCAACCCACATGGCGCAGCAGACCTCTCCTGACTCCCCCGCTGCTCCCCTCAGCAGTGTAGTTCGGTCAATCTGCCCATTCTGTTCCCCACTCTGGTGAATCCTCTCACCCCCCACATCTTTGGCCTGTACCCCAGCTCTTTTATGCATAAATAAATAAATAAATCTTTAAAAAAACACAAAACCTAGCTCTGCCCACTTCTCTCCATCCGTTCTGCTACCACTCTAGTCAAAACCAACCATCTTTCTCTCTCTGACCACTGCACAGCTTCCTCTCTGATTTCCCTGTTTTCACCTTTGCCCCCTCCCATTCTTACTTCCTAGAGCAGCCACACTAATCTGATAATCACTCTGCTTCAAATCCTAGCTCTCAGGAAGCCCTTATGAGTCTAAAAAATTTCCCAATCTCTCATAGCTACTCCTGAGCCTCCTTTCAGTCCCTCTGCATTCAAGATATTCTCAACTTTTAGATTTCTCCAATGAATATCGTTTACTCTTGCCACTGGGGTTTCACACAAAGTATGCTTGCTCTGCCTGAAAAAAAACCTCTTATTCCCAACACATCCTTTACCTACTACTCATCTTTCATATTTCAGATTGAATGTCATTTCCTCAGGGTCAGACAAAACCATCTCCCCCCCATGCATTCTGGCAATTCTTTCCCGGTACTATAACACCTGTTCCACTCTGCTGTCATGCCTTCATGCCTGCCTCTACCACTGAACAGCTCCAAGAGGCAGTCTGTCTTGTCCATTGTTGTAACACCAGCAGGTAATCGTCTTTGGCACATTGTGGGTGCTCAAAGAATGACTCCATACAGGACGGAATGAATGAATGAACGAGCCAGAAGGCCCTGGTCGTAGTTAAGTCATGGTGGCCGCCCCCTGGCAGTGTCTGAGTTTAGGGTCTAAGTAAGTGCCTGGAGAAAAGGCAGCCACGTGGGGGCGTCCGTAGGCACCAACAGGCCACAGGGGGGCGCCCCCGGCTTATTGTATCTAGTTGGCACCACCTCCCACTCGGGCTCGGGGACCAAACGCCAATGGACGGCAGGAGGCGGGGTTATCCCTCTGATGGACAGCATTGCTCCGCCCAATCTAATTCATCTTTTCCTTGGCCCCTCCCACTGGGGGGAGCCACCAACCGAACTCCTGCAAGGTGCGCTCAAGGCCGAACCGGCTCGCCTGGCGGGCTGTGAGTGGGCGGCCGCTCGCTGGGGCGGGGCCTCGGCGTTGACGGGCAGGTGCCCGGCCCCGCCCCTCCCGCCCAGAGGGCAGCACCCGCGCCGGGGGCCGCAGAAGTGAATACGTGCGCGGCGCAGCCAGATCCCTGCTCGGACCCCGGACGGCGCGCGCACCTGGAGCCCCGGTTCCGAGTCGGGCCCGCGGCGTACCGCGGGATTACTGTGCACCCCGAACTCCGAGCACTTGCACCCTCCCGCCCGTGTCGGGCTTTCCGAAACCGGCTCCGAGCTCTCCAGCGCCCGGGATCCTCCTGGACCGGTCCGTCCAGATTCCCGCGGGACCGGGCTGCCCGCATCCCCCAGCATCGCCCGACTCCGGGCTCCGCCTTGGTCCCGGAGCCGTTCTCCTGGATTGCACCCCCTCCTTGCGGGGATCTCCGGAGATCGCTGGCGAGCTTTCCTCGGAGCCCGCGGAGCAGACCCTCCCCCAAGTGCCCACTGCCCGCCGGCGCGGCCCGGCGCGGCCCGGCTCGGCTCCCGGAGCCCGCCCGGCCATGGCCCGAGCCCGCCCGCCGCCGCCGCTGCCGCCGGGGCTCCTGCTGCTGCTGCTGCTGCCGCTGCTGCTGCCCGCCGGCTGCCGGGCGCTGGAAGGTGAGCGGCGTCGGGGGATGCAGCCCGGGGTGAAGGTGCCCGCGGTCGCCGGAGCGTGGACCGGAGAAGGTGTGGGTCGGATGCCGGCTGGGCGCACGTCGGAAGAGGCGCCGCCACCGGCTCCCACTCCAAGGGCTGGAGCATGGGGTGAGGGGGACGCCCCCCGGAATCGCCTCGGAGGCTCGAACTGGCTCGGAGAGCCGCGGTCCGTGTGTTGCGGGATCGCGGGCAGCTCGACTCGGGTTGAGCGTTCTCGAAATTCAGGGCCCGCCGTGCGCTTTTGTGGGAGCACCCCGCGCTCGCGGCCGGGGAGCGGAGCCCTCGCAGGCGAGCAAGTGTGGGCGACCCACCAGGCAAGGCGGGGCTCTCAGGCCGCTGCGGGGTTGTGATTGTTGGGGGTGAGGCGGGAGTCCCCAGGTTGGGGGGCGGCGTGGGTTAGGAATCCGTTGGAGTTAACTGTGGGAGTTTGCGCCCCGCTTTGTCAGGGGCGGGCGCGGGGAGGGGGGTGTGTGTGGAGAGGAGAGGGTCTGTTATTGTTTATGGTTTGCCCAGCGCCAACTATACACGAGGTGCTGTGTGCACCGGTGTTGCTCACTGCTCTGTGGCTACCAACCCCCTCTTCTAGTAGGACACCCCGAGTGCTCATTTCTCCATGGAACCCCTCAAGTTGTGGGATTTGCTCCAGCTAGCACCGAGCCGGTGTGTTACCCATTAGCCGGTGGGGAAAGGCCGGGCTTCTCAATAGGTTCTGTGAAACCTGCCAAGACTGTGCTGGGGGAGGGGGTACCTCCAACTTCCAAATGGCTGGACTTGGGTGAAGAGCCCGAGTGTTGTTGGTCCCGGTGGGACTCCTTACACACATGCCACTTGACACAGCCTGCAGGGGACCAAGACACTAACACAGGTCACAAACAATAGGCACACACACAGAGCTTCCAAAAAATTTGGCGCTGTTAGAGGAAAGAAAAACCTTCCTTGATGTGGAGGGAAAGACACCTTATACATTTGGAGAAACTGGAATAGAGGCAGCACTTATTTTTGGCGTCTTTAACAAATCTAGTCACTTTCTTAGTTCAGGGACAAAATACATGAATTCTGTGTAACTTGGTTTGTTCGTATATTCATAATCAGTAAATGTGAAGGTTGGAAGGAAGAAAGAACACAGCTCCAAGAGAAAGGCATCTTCGGTACTTTGTCATTTTCTCCACGGGGGAAACCTTCCTGTGAACTCTCAGCCCCCTTTATCTCTGAGCCCACTGGTGCTGACAGACGGATTCACACAGAGGGACACATGCAAATCCAGACAAACACTCTGAGGTCGCGCCCACACTCGCGCACACTCACCCACATGTGTGTGATAGGATCGCAGGCGTGAGAAACCAGTGTGGGTCTTTGTTGTTGATTGCCTCAAGGGTGTGAGCCAGTGAGCCTGTTGGGATTCCCAGATCTCTGTCTGTGGCTTAACCCAGAAGGGGTGGCAGGTACACATGCTTTTGGGTCCCCAGGGTTCTGGTTGTGGGGTGTGGTGGGTGCTGGTGTAGGGTGGGGGAGTCAGGTGAGTGAGGACTATCTGAGTAGTCTCCCCCCTCCCTCTTTGATTCCCTTTCTTTCTCCTTTCACCCCTCACAATCTGCTAGACCCTTGAGGCGGCCCTAGGTGGGAGCTGGCATTCAGGTTTTCAAGAGGCTGGGAGTTGACCAGCTGGGAGGGCATTCAGTTTCAAGGGCTGGCAGGGACCTGGGCAGCTGCAGCAGCCCCGGAAAGAGAGGTCCATGACTGCCTCCCCTC